CTCAGAGTCAGGTCTGAGCACCAGTTAGTCACAACAATTTCTTCTTTCATGGAGGCCCTGGCCTACCTGGGCCCTGGCCTACCTGAAGTTCTGTAACATTGCCCTTTTGTTCATCCCTGTTGTGATCATTTATTCACATCTGGAACCTGGCATCTGCTCAGTTGCACCTGTCTCTCCCTTTCAACCCTGATTGGAGGCAAGAGATACTCAACTTCTCTCATGTCCTATGTGAGGAAAGCTGGGCTGGTAGAGCACTTCCCAGCTGTGGAATATCAGGGCAGTCACACTGTTAGGGGGGAAAAGGATGTCCTAAAGCTAATTCCATACAGACTTTTTGGACTCCACCCCCACTCCAGGCCAAAGCCAAAGACACTGGGAACTCCAAATCCCATCACCACCAAAGGGAAGGTGGCTGGGACCTGAGGGTGGGGTTAAGCAGCCAGGTTGGTATAAAGCCAGACACGTGGGCTTTGGAGGGGTCCCCCATTTTGGCTCTCCACCAGCTCGCAGCGTCAGGCCCGCTCTGAGAGTGCTTTTTGGGTTTCCAGGTCGTCGGATCAGGTAGGACGCATTAAAGACTTTATTTCCCTATTTTCTCCCTGAGTTGTACATTTTCCTTATTTCCTTTTCCCTTGTAAATAAACCTTCTATTAACCTTTTTTGTATGCCTGTAGTGGAGTATTAATAAGTCCCTTTTAAGCGCGCAGGTGAGGACCCACAGACAGGCAACCCGTTCAGTATTGGAGCTGCCCTATAACAACACCACCCCTCTCAGCCTGATTCTAGGCATGAGATGGCCCTGATTCTAGGCATGAGAGGGTGTTTACCTTGCCAGGATTCAATTAGACAATGTATGCCAGACCTTCTACCATGTACCTGGCATATGGAAAGTGTCCATAAGGTTTAATGTCACTGTGGACTGGCATCCACTCTGGGCCCTTGGATTCCCTCCCCAACCCACCTCTCCCTATTCATTCAGCCCTGAGTGCAACCTGTACAGACAAAAAACTCCCAAGCAGAATACTCCCAAAGGGAATAGTTCTCAAAGCTCTCCCCATACCCTGGCACATTCTTCAAACATGGTCCCTGTTAATAGTTTTTAAGATAATACATTAATAAGAGCAGTTACAAAGACAACGTTGATAAGAGAGGCAACAACATGAGATGTATGACAGGTGTGGCAGGGAATCCTCTCTACTGCTTTTTTTAATCTTGTTTATGCTCTGATCAACCAAGAACTTTCACATCTACTCTGAGTCCCTGGCCCCTGGCTCAACCATCGCTGTATCCTACAATCTTGTTAATGCCTCTTTTCCTCGATTACACTACAAGAGAAAGAGAAGCACACCTCATTCCCCCTCCTTCAGTCCCTGACCTCAATGGTCCAGTTCTGAGAATGCAGCTCTGCCTTCTGGTTCCAAATTCCAAGGCACTCCATGTCTCCCTTGTTCCCATAACTAGGATCGTAGCTCTGCCTTTGTGCCTGTTTCTGAGAGCTGGTTCTGGGGCCTACCTTGGTGCCTTTCTACCACTGAGACCTGCCTACCTCTAATTAATCCCCTTACCCAGTAGCAGGGTCCCTATTCTCCCTATTTAGATGCACCACTGCCTCAGTGAACTTTAACATATCTGTTGCCAAATTCCCCATGACTGGACTCCACCAACCTCTTAGGCCCCCACTACGAACTGTGCTACCCATTAGTTGAAACTGTATGTGAAATTATGCATACTGCCTAGACAATGTCTTGAGGTGCAGAGCCTCCCCCATCCCCTGGGCCAACTCCCTACCTTGTGTCTTGTCCCTTAATAACAAATTTGCTCCTCCTCGCTGCAAGGTCATTGTTGCATCCAGCTCTTGTCAGGATACCTGCTGTTTGGAATAGGCAGCCAATGGTGCAGAGAGATTGTTGTCTGGAGACAGAGACCCAGTTGCTACTTAGGTTTCCAAGGCGACCCATCCACTGGCTACTTGAATAGCTGTAGTGACAAAAACCATCAGAGAGGCTGAATTTTTACTGATAGCATAAAATCTCTTTACCTAAGAGCCTAGCCAATAAAGTTTAAATCAGAAGAAAAGCCAGCTGCTAATACAAATGGAACATGAGAAGCTTTAGAAAAGCAGAGCTTTAAGTATTAGGAGGCTGAGATGCTGCTAAGTAGCTGCTATTGTAATGCAAAGGGATTGCTAGCTGGGAGGGCACTTTCTAAACCTCTAGGAGGTTCCTGTTTTGATCACCAGTCATAAATATCAGGGTTGGCTGCTGCAGGTCTTAACTTTATCCCCTAGCCCTGTGTCCAGTTAGGATGGATGAGGAAGGGAAGTTCCTTCATGAAGTATGTGGGAAACTGGAAGTTTCTCTCCTGCCAAAGATTTGGTCAACCTTGAATCCCTTCCTCTCAGGACTAAACTCAGGTGTTATGTATCCCAAGGCACTCTCTTAAAAAGCAAAATCTGTTTCACTTAATTGAATAATAGATTCTCCATGTGCTGGGACTGGTTTTTAGGTTAGCACTTTGTCATCCAGGCAATCGGACATAAATCAGGTCCATTTGCATTGGGGGCCAGTAGGAGGAAAGAGTGCAGGCATGCATCAATTCAGGTGTTCATGGGAAAACAGCGATGGGGTAGAGGCTTCAGGGATAAGCCAGGAGCCAGGGCAGTCAGAAGCCAACACTCAAACAAAATGGCATCTCCAGATGCCTTCAGAATGGATCAGAAAGAGGACATGTGTGGTATGTGTGTGTCTTTGAGAGTGGGATGAATGGGGTGAAATATTGGCTTCCATTTGTCCAAATTCACAAACTTCCAGATTCTTCAATTCTGGCATCTAAAAAAAAAAAGAGAACGTGCTTGAGCTTCACAAAATACAGGCAAAATGGACTGATTCTTGGTTTCAGATAAATATGAAAAACTGTGGGCTTAGAACTCTGTGTATTTATTTTTGTTATGGCACTTAGAATAAAGTGTTCCAAATTTAACATTTAAAAAGGAACAAAGTAACCCATTATGCAAATGGTATTATGGGATGGAGAGTCCCTGGGCAAAGAAAGATAAATGTATTTATAATTGTGTTTTAATCTTCTCTACTGGAAACAATTCCTTGTCTATTTTAATATGATGCCAATCTTTGAGTCAAGAGATGGTGATTACAGTCTAGCTTGGTCATGATAGCTATTAATTGCCTTAACTATAAAGGATCTTGTAATTTTGCCTCCAAATTGTAATGTCATTTATAATTCTCTTTGTCATTACGGATAGCTATTGTATTATAAAAGACTGTTGTTGCATACTTTAATTATTATTTTTGTTATGAAAAATGCCCAAAATTTGAAACTGGGAAATAACAGAGACAGTTGAGGAAACAACCTGTAATTGATATACTCCTCACTCTCAATTACATTTTCCAATGGTTTATTTATAAGAGCTGACCAATCTGGCTTGAGTGTTTCTATATATGCGAGGACATATCGCTCCCCTGAGGAGTTTGCTGGCAGTCAGAGTAGGAGCAGTAATGAGTTTTCCAATTCAGACCAGCTGGAATCAAGGTTCCAAGCACTTTATTCTGTGCAAAGAATGCACTACTTGTCACATAGATATAAAAATTTTTTTTTTTTTTGGGTTTTTAACACATTTATTGAAAAGAATATCTGCATATTTATTCATATTTTTTCTTTTAATACTTATTTAGCCAGGTTTTATGCTGTTTTCCCATTTTATATGAGGAAATGCTCTGTGCAGCCTGGTACAGTACAATTTGGTTTTCAGTCTGGTGCTTCAAATGTCATATATATGAGTCTTCAGCCAGACATATTTGGCTATGATTGATAATTCTAGTCAATCATTTCTTTTTTTTTCATTTTCAAAGAGATCATTTAAGATAAAACATAGTTGCAATTCTTTTGTTTAATCAAAGTAATGTTAGTCAACAACACTCTAAGTTCAGGTGTAGTTCACACATCAGTAACTGTACTTGTCACACAATTCCATTAATGTCGAGTCATCATCACCATCAATTAGCCTTACTACTCCCTTCCTTTGGACCACTGTGATTCAGAATAAGGGCTTGTTTTTGCACCTTGTTCATTGCTATTTTCTTTTTATCCTACAAATAAGTGAAATTTTGCACTACTTGTCACATAGATATAAAAATTCTTAATGAAGCATTAATAGAGAGCTGCTTAGCCTCCGTGTTGTTATTATAGAGGCCAATAAGAATATAGATAGATAACTGCTTGGAAAAGAGAGTAAATTGCATTTTTCTCAGTCCTGGCTCTCAACTGTGGTTGAGGATGATAGAATCTCAAATTTTGGTCAATTACCCAGCCTGATCCTGAAAAAAGTTGAGTTTTCCCTCCTCGGGACTCAGTTACGCAACCTACAATGACATCATTGTCGTTGAGGTCGAGGCAAACATGCTTCATCTTTTGCAAAGCAATGGCCTGAATTGTAATCCTGCCAGAAGATTAACATCAAGCCATGAGATTTCAGAGTCACAGCCAGTCTTGCCACTGAAGACTAAACTCCCACATCAGCCAGCTTTGTAGTTAGTCCGGGTGTGATTGCGTGCAGATAGTGCTGCCTCACTTTGCCCATGGGCCACTGAAACAGGAGTGATGAGTAGCTCTGTGGTCCTTCCTCCCAAGTTCCCAACTACCAAGCCCTGCTGTTACTCCAAACATACTAAGACAATGAAAATCTTGAGTGAACGTGTCTAAGCTAAGGAGTTCTTCCTAGACATATATAACATAAAAAAGTTAAGGAAATTAAGTTAAGAAATACTCATCTTTGCATGTTTCTGTTAACACCTTATAAATTAGGCTTTATAGAGCAAAAGGAATTTGAGGGTTCGCAGAGACATGGCTTGCCAAGGTGCTCAACCCCACATGAAACATTCTGTCAAAGCTTTATTTGAAAATGGAGTTTTCTTTAATGCTATTCAGAGGGTACCATTGATATGCACTCTCTGAGAATTGATCTCATGGCACAACAAAGGGAACTAATACTTACCTGGTCAGGGAGATACCATGATCACAAAGGTGGATTTCCCAGGAAAAGCTCATCCATTCCACTCTGAATTTGCTGACACCTGAGATTTCCCCAAATGTGGAAGACTCAACTGCATAATTTGTGGTAGAGCGAAACTGTGTTTATGATATTCCCTGATAAAAAATAAAATAAAAAACCAGGGGAAAAGAGAAATGTTGGCTTTGATGCATACTACCTCCATGCACGCTATTAGTAAGAGGGTTGACAGCCCAAGGCCCCAGAAAAGAATGTTAGGGTCCAACTAGTTTATTTTGCTTTTAAGTAGCTCTAAAATTTTGGGCAAGACACATTCACAAAACCTTATTTCCTGTTCTATAATGATAAATTTACTAATATTCCCTGTGGCTATCTCCCAGGGGTGTTATAAGGATCCAGTGAGAAAATGTATATGAAACTGTTTTATGAGCTATGTGAAATACTATTCGTTACATTGGTGGTCAATCTTCTTTTTATTACTAATCTAACCTCTGATATATTCTGAGAAGAAAGTAATTTCATTGTAACCCTCCTAGTTTCTGAGGTCTGGTGCATTTTTTCCCACATTGGAAACTTGGACCATTAGGAGTCAAAATGATATAAGACTTACTCTGTATTAACCCACTTCCTGATCGGGATGTTGCTGGTGGGTCTGAATTATCTTACTGCCATCATAGCATTGTTTTCTGTGGAGCGGCTGTGTCTGGTTGCAGTTTCTCCATCACAGAAAACACTCTTATTATGGAAAAAATAAAGACCTCAAGCAAGGTGACTCTCTCTGACACTTCTTTCGTGCCTGCCTGCATACAGTTGTCTATACATTCATGACTTTTAATACTCACCTCTGTGCCAACACTGAGCCCAGGACATAAATACAAGGTCTGTCCTCAAGATGCTCAGTTTCACTAACAATAAACTAAAAGATTTGGTACATGATATTCTAGATACTTTCTCACATTTCTAACACAATCCTTGGGATATGATACATTTTTAACAAATATTGGCTTAAAGAAATAAGAATATAGGTCACCAGGGCCTCCCCGGTGGCACAGTGGGTTGAGCACTACACTGTGAAGCTGTCCACAGCCTCTGCAGTGTGGGTTCAATTCCTGGCCAGTCCCACATGGCATGGCAGACCTCTCCTGTCTTGCCCGCTGCTCCCCTCAGCGGTGTCTTAGGTCCATCTGCCTGTTCTGCTTCCTGCTCTCTCTGGTGAATTCTCTTGCCCTCCTGTACCTCTGACCTGTATCCCAGTTCTTGGATCAATCAATATTTTTTTTTAAAAAATCCTAATTACTTTAAAAAAAAAAGAATATAGGTCACCAGTTTTCTTAAAAGAAAGGACAAACTCACTGGATTCTAATTTTGAGAGCGAGAAGGAGATTTGAGTGTTCTACATCACTCTATCAGAGATTTCTCTTTGTCCTCAAATCTAGACCAAATGTAACTTTGCAATTGCTTTTTCAATGCAACAGGAGATTATAGTGACCTTCCACCATAGTGAAATAGGGTTTGTACTTACTGCTGGTTCAGCCTGTGCAGTGAGGAAGTCTCTGCGGAGAATTACTGGGGAGGAAGGCAGAGAATGAAGGTTGTCACTGAAGAAGAAACTCCTAGTAACACAAATCTTGGGAATTACATCACATGTTTTTGTGCCTCATAAGTCTTGAGACTTTGAAACAGACACATTAACAATCATTGTGAAATAGACAGCATAATTTACCTTGACACTGCATTGCAAGAGATAGTCACTATAGTAAGTAGTGAAGCTTATTGATAAACAGATGTGCCCACTATATCCTAAAGAATGGTATTATCAAAAACTTCAGCTCTTTGAAAGACCCCACTAAAATAACAAAGATAAACCATAGAAATGGGAAAAAATATCTGCAAGACATACATATCTCACAGGATTTGTCTCCAGATATAAAAAGAATTTTTACTACTGAAAGAAATGGGTAATAGATTTGAACAAATACTTCACCAAAGAAGATACATGAATGGGCAATAAACATAGGAAAAAAATATTCAACCTCATACTCCAAGGAAATACCAATTATATGCCACAATGAAATACCCACTGGAAGGACTAAAATTAGAAAGCTGTAGCGCCACTTGTACTCTCAGTCACTACTGATGGGAATGCAAAATGGTGCAATCATTTCAGAAGTGAGTTACACAGTTTCTTATAAAGTTAATCAAGCAGTACTTTATGAGCAAACAATTCTACTCTTAGGTATTTTACTCTGTAAATGAAAATGTATGTCTATAAAGTATTTGTCCATGAAAACTCATAGCAGCTTTATTCTGAGCAACCAAAAACTTTCAATCACAATGTCCATAAGAAGTAAATGAACTCACAAAGTGTAACATATCCATTCAACAGAATGAAAGTCAGCATTTAAAAGAGCGAACTATTCACATATACAACAACATGAATACATCTCAAAAAAATTATGCAGTTCCAAAAAAAAGACATCAAAGGATGCAGTTTATGATGCCGAAAAGGACAAATTTAATCTATAATAACAGATAGCAGATCAATGGTTGCCTGAAGTGGGGATAGTAGACAGATGACAAGGAGGATGATACTGCAAAAAGACTTAAGAGCAGATGGAATTGTTCTGTATCTTGACTGTGGAGATGGTTACACACATGCATGCATTTGTGTGCATACACTAACAGGCCTGCATTTTGTTATATGTAAGTTGTAGTTCCATAAGGTTAATTTCGTAAACTGCCTTGGTGAAAGAATATTAAATGCACTAAAGTAGAATTAAGAGTCAAGGTGTTTACATATGCAGCATTTGTAGCAGAGTGAAATGTAGAGAGCTACACTGAAGTGGAGAAAACCAACTGAAAGCAATGTGCGGGTACTCTTTTCATTGCCCTACTGTGGTATGTCTCAGAGAATATTAAACAGGGTGCACCTCAATCTTCAGGAACATTTGCAAATTTATGTCTTTCATCTTGCAAATATGTACAGCCTTTAAAACAAAAATACATCATTTTTGTTTTAATTCACAGATGAGAGGCATTCTTTGTTGATAGAGGGAGAGGTTAAAAAATGTAAATGCAAAAACCCTAGCCAATAAGTAGGTCTTAACCTCAACTCAAAGAAGGGTGGGGGAGAGAAACTTGCAGGGGCCACCAAGATTGAAATTATGAATTTTCACTAAAGAGTTCCTGTGATAAAATGAATTAATCTCTCAGAAGATGCCAGATTCAGTGAATTGCTCTGTGCTTTATAGATACAAATCTCAGTCTCAGTCCTGTCTATTCCCATTCTTTTCCCTGGAATATATCTGGGATCCAAGTCTGCTATTTATTCTACAGACGATACTGAGACTCTGCTCAGACACAGGCTTTTCAAGATAGAGACCCATGGCTTACCTTCCACCCTGGATTCCTGGCATGGTAACCAGTATGTGGGAAGCTTAATACATATTGTGAAATGATCAACTCCTATTTCACCCCTAAAATTTTGTTTCCCTACTTTCCTTTGCCTCTCTAAGATAAATTTATTTAAAGCAGAAGTGATACCTAGGTACCATAATATGCACATTTTTGTTTGCATCAGATTTAAGTCTGCTTATTTATGTAGCTATTTCTCTGAGCAATACAGAGAATTTAACTCATGATGCAATTGAAAATGTGGGATATAGAATGGATATTTTTATATGTAGTCATTACTTTAAATGTACCAGGATTAAAGGTCATTTTAATGACTCATCTGTAGAAATAGAAAGTAGAAAGATGACATTCTTAAGTAGCTGTTCCTTACGTTTGTTCTTTAGTAGAATATTAAAAGTGGCTTAAATACACCTCATGCTAATTTCTCTAAGGCCACCCATCCTATCAAAAATTGATTCTTATATAAAATAGTTTTGTTATTAAATGCCAGGAAAAGAATCTAATCTTAACCTCAAAATTTTTAGGTTATGAATGACAGGCAAACAGTATCATTTTTTTGTTGCATATTTTATGTGGACTATTTTTATGTGAAGGCATAAATCCAGAGAGCAGAACAAGAATAACAAAGTGATGGGTACTTTAAACTGAGTCTTTGCATATGGGTTTTATGTTTTTCAGTTAACTTTGTCATTTAAGTTTCTGTCCATCATATTGCTGTTATAAAATCTTGCAGCACCAGGTTTCAAGCGTAGTAGCACCATAAGGAGAAGGCCTGTATCACTTCTAGTTTTATTTTTATTTTTATTTTTTTTGGAAAGAATGCTTGTAAATGGAATATGAATTTAAAACCCAGTCACACAGAACAGAGGCATCCAGAGGGGGAGGGACAAGAACAAAGTGGGGACGGAGCACAGTGGGCTATGACTGTGTGTACTTTGGTGGTGGGTGCTTTATGGTAGTAACCCCTGAAGGCAGAATTCTATGCTCCCCAAATATGAACAATGAAGTAAACCAACATTATTATTTCAATTAAAAGAATAAAAAGAAAAAAATCAGTCATGTGTATCTACACCTCAGCATTACCAGAAAATCACCGATTGGACAAATTTGCACAATTGTGCCCCTTTGGGTATTTGGAAAGGGAATGCTGTACTTCTCCCAGATTGAAAATACTTTCTATCCTAGAAATTTCTCCAGCAACAAAAGCAAAATCCTGTGGTGGGAAAAGTTCAAATAAATAGAAATTGAAATGCAACATATGATATAAAATTGTGTCTACAATACTTCAGCAGCAGTGGACTCAGACTGGAATAATACTGAGATTAGCATGACACCCAGGCAGGCCTAGCCTGCTCTATGACTCCATTTATCAGTGTGGTGTTGCCAATGCAACACTCTTGTATGCTTCTTATTTTACAAATGTGTAAGTTATAGACATGGTCTGCATTGGATAAAAACTATACAGAAATATGACAGTAATGATTATCTCAGGGAACTAGGATTACAAATTTTAAAACTATCATTTTAAAACTTTCAACAACAGGGATGTATACATTCAAAATAAGGAAAAATAAATAAGCTTTTAAACGTATTGGACTATCTGAAGATAAAAGTAAATTTGACAGTGAATTTAAAAAGTTTTTTTTTAACACTCAGCAAACCTAATACCTTAGGGAAATGACTTTCAAGCTATTTTCAGCAGTGAAAGCTTTTATAAATGTAAATG